TGAATCATGGAGTCCTGTGGGATTCGAGCATGGAGTTTTTGCAACCGCATTATCATTGCAAAAGTCACTCAACTGGTTTTTATTGCCGATCTTTTGGTGGGAGCCTCAAGTGGATGCAGAGATGCATTTAAAGCAGTGTGGAGAGGTTGCAGTTGCTGGCAAATGCTAAGAGCAAGGAGGATCTGCTCGCCCTCTTGACGAAGCGTGGTCCGCAGGCCGTGTGCTTTTGTCACCCGGTGGACGTCCGCTTGGCCATGGCCGCAAGCCAGGCGGCGGCAGATCCAGAGACGCCAGGGCGTACATCCGACCCCTTGGCAATGCACATTGTCCCACGCCTGCCACGCAAAAGAGGCGGAGACCCTAGGGACGCCAAGGCGTACATCCGACCCCTTGGCAACGCACATTGTCCCACGCCTGCCACGCAAAAGAGGCGGAGACCCAAGGGACGCCAGGGCGTACATCCGACCCCTTGGCAACGAATATTGCCCCACGCCTGCCACGCAAAAGAGGCGGAGACCCAAGGGACGCCAGGGCGTACATCCGACCCCTTGGCAGAGCACATTGTCCCACGCCTGCCACGCAAAAGAGGCGGAGACCCAAGGGACGCCAGGGCTTGGCAATGCACATTGCCCCACGCCTGCCACGCAAACTCATCTCAGCAAACCTGAAGATCTGATGCTCCAAAATGCAACCCCTCTCAGGAAATCACCGCCCGGACCTCCTAACAGCTCCGATGAAGATGTCTCTTACTGCGCCTGCCACGGAAAATGCATCTTTGCAAATCCTCTTCAAATGTCCCACGCCTGCCATCGTTTTTGGAAATGACACAAAACCCTCACGTTTTGCTCACTTTGAGAAGGTGCCCCATCCCTTGCGCCTGCCACGCGAAACGACATCTCAACTTCTCAAAGTGGTCCGAGCATGGTGTGCTTTGTAAATTTTGACTTGGAAATGTGCTTCGCGCCACAACGGCATGCACTTTTCCATCGCTCATCTGGCCACATGGCTCCGCACCCGCCGCTTTAGCGAGCCTACTTTTCGATTCTCCGGAGCCTCAAATCATTGGAAAAACACAGTCTTTCGCGACTTTCCTACCTTTTCGCGCATCTGCATCTTCTTTCTTCTGACTCTTTCTCTTCTGTCGAGTCATCTTCTCTCTTCTACTCTTCTCTTCTCTCTGACTCTTCCCCTCTCTGCTTTTCATCTGTCCATATTGTCGGAAGTTTGACTTCTAAACTTCCTTCGAACATTGCTTTGTCTGCAAGATCATGCTCACCATCCCAGGGCCTGTAAGATAGGACCCATCTGGGTAGCGGAAAAGAATGGACTCCACCTCCCAGTCGTTCGCCATCACCTGCATATGGGAGTGCCAACCTCTTCTCAAATAGGTCGATAGAATACTCTAAGATACTCAGCTGCTTTGTGGGCAGCCTCCACACTCGTGGGTGGCCACCGAAAATCTCGAAGCTCACCAGCATCCAAAGGCACCTGTGGCAGGATAAGACCCTGTGATTGACGATTTGTTTATCGTTGTTTAATCTGTTTAACCTTTGTGCAGGCTGCCTGGAACATCCTGGAACTTCTGGATCTTTGAAGATGTTTTTATTTTTTGGCTTGTCTGCTGTTCTTCTTTGAATCAGAGTCTCCCTTGCCACTTTGAAGCATCGGCCATCTCTGGTGTTAGATACGATGCTCTTTGAAGCAATAGGTACTGTGACAAACAGGGATAGTATGGGACAATTGCGATCATGTAGTTGGCAAAGCCTCATGGATTTGCAAAGCAAACACCCCTATGATGTCTCTGACTCTGACATCTCCCGGCAGCTACAGTAATTTGAAACAGTTTTAGCTGGAACCGATCGAGACAGACTGATACGGAGAATATGAGACTCCTTCTCAAGTACTGTATCCTCACATTAGACTCATGCCTATCCTTCGCTGACTTCAATGTCTCTAATTACCCGCACCTGCGCTCCATCGCACTCGACGCGTAGCCCTATGGGGGCAGCCGGCACGTGTTCCGACCGCAACTGTTGAATCTGCGACGGGCTGGGCAGGGCTGGGGAGCATGCGGCAATGCTGCAACAGGATGAGCGGGCCAAGTGGAGAAGTTTTCGGTGAACAAATCGTGCAGGATGTTGGATGACATATCATGTCTGTCAATTTTGGTGAACTTGCAATAAATCCCAGCAGCTGGATACCAATGCCTCGCTGCTATGCTGGGCCAGTCAGGCTTGTCAGAAAATTTCTGATACCGCCAAGACACTGGAAAGTTTCTGAAATGTGTAAAGCTCCTAGGAAATTTCAAAGTTCAATCATGGAAGTTACGCGATTCAGAAATGCCGAAGGTGCCAAAGCACCAAAACCATCCAAAACCACAAACTACACAATCTTGATCACATGCTCCTCCCCTGCGATTTACTGTCTTCCCGACCTCTACACCAAGACCAGATTGTGCCAGTGACAACCCAATCCGAACGACCTGTGCCAGACATGCCAATGTCCAAGAGTGCGAAAACCAATCGGTGTTCCCTTGCCCACAACGGGTGATCCCCAATTTGTGGTTTCGCTTATTCTTGGGCATTACGTTGGGTGCTTTCGAGTCTTTGCAAAATGTCCAAAACAAAACGATGCAAAACGTCTGTAGACGGAGGGAAAGCCACCAAACGCAGATCAGGATACTCTGATGATTCTGATGATTCTGATGATTCTGATGATTCTGATCCTGCATCTGTCCGGAATCTTCAGCGGCCCTAGCCGCGGCCCTAGCCCCACCTCGGGATGCTTGTGCAACATGCCAGCCCTGGCCACGGCAGTGCGGCTGGCTCCAGCGGCCTGGCATATCGCCACCAAACAAAACTCCAGAGGTCATCAAAACTACACCTCTGTATATTATATATATATATATTGTACACATACATATTATGACATATATATATATGTATAGTTATATATATATATTCCAAAATCATCATACCAAAACTACCAAATAAAAAACTCTCAATAGTCTACAAGACATCAAGACATCTCAAAAAAAAACAAAAGTCAACTATGTCATGGAAAGAATATACAAGAATCATTTGACCTCGAAGGATGGGATCGCTGAACACATCCCCTGGGGGATGAAACCTCCAAATTGAAAAAGAAACCGTTTGAGGGAAGTTGGAAGTTCTAAAAGTACCATTAAACAAATTCCCTGTGATTTCAATCAAGCCATGAACATTCCATGAACAAATCGGATTTAAAAAGGCCACTTGGGCTGACTTCGGGCACTTCACTACTTCACCGCTGTTTCCAGCTGCACCTCAGCGCCAAGCACCTGCCGCAACGCCGCCTCCAACTTCTCTGCTGGGATTGGAACCTGACACTGAACCAAGACCATGCATGCTTGCTGCAAAGTACATGAATCAGCTTCTGAACGTGAGACATCTTTTCTTAGCTGGACCACTGGACAAACCTGTATCATGCCATATCATGCCCGTGCAACTGCATCCAAGCGACGTCTGAAAAGTCTCGCACTGCTGGCCGCGGTGACGGCACGGATGGCATTGATGGTGTTCCGCATGCAGCTACAGAATACCTTGGAGGTGCAGCATGCAGCTAGCTCCAAATGTTTGAAGACAACTGAAGACAACTCAAATGGAAATGTGTTCAGTGACAGCCAAGTTTGCTTTCTGAATCTCTCGTCTACAGACCCATGCTATGGGCTACTGATCCTTCACGGAAGTGGACAGCACGACAAGGGTTCATCTTGAATAAGTTGAGAGATGTTGAGAGTACCCAAAAGCCAACCAAATGGAGCCACAATTGAGTAGTGCTCAAGCAACGCTCTCCAAACAAATCACGGATCTTCGCATTCACCATCTCTACATCAAAAGCATTCGAAAGCAAGATCTCGAGTCATAGCCATGAGATTATTTCTGATTTGTAGACTCATTACTGTACAACATTGTAGAACATATCTGTAGAACTGTAGAATCTATGTAGAACTGTAGAACATTGTGGAACATTAAGAACATTAAGATGAACATTGTAATAATATTGTAATATTATATATATTATATATATATTATATATATATTGTCATTATATTGTAATCATTGTACACCAAAGATGTCTGTGCATCATGTGCTGAGCAACGCCGATGCTCCGGCGGCACCGGCGGCACCGGCGGCACCGGTGGCATCGGCACCCGGGACCCATCCAGGGGCGACTCCAGGCCGCTGCCCCGCATGTCCATGGCCAAGATGGCCGTGACCACCGTACATCGTACATAGTATACATAGGAATCAAAAATCATCAAAACATAAAAGGATTCAGAAAAATCGATTGGCTAGAATTGGATAGAATTGGATGGAATTGGATGGAACCAGAACATACGAGTAATATTGGAATTGTCCGAACTCGCAAAACACAGACTGAATTGCCAAAGCCGGCAAAATGAGACAATTCAATCGTTTTGCATCCTTTTGCTACTTGTATCTGGATCTATTTGGTAGGTGATATATAGGTGATATGCAGGTGATGTTTCCAGGCACACAATTTCTGCTCGTTGCGCTTCATGGTGCTCATTCAACTACAGTAAGAGGTCATCTCGGAGTCCGTGTCTGTAGTACTTCCCGAACTACCTACATCTACCTGCCAATACTATCCGCGTGGCTGTTAGGGTCTAGTCATTTTGCTTGCAGAGTCTGTGGCTTCGGTCCTTTAATTTGTTCGCCTCGCTACAAATCGTATCTACATCCTTTCTGCGGACCAAAAGTATGCAAGTTGACACTCCTCAATGCATCACCAGAACGAAACGATACAGTTTATCTCAAAACATTCAAAACAAAAAAACAATCTAAATCTCACTAAAACATAAATGTCTGACCTGGGTAACGCAGAAACTGATTGTGTGGGATGGTGCTGGGTGCAAGGATATAGCACTATTTCACCACTGCGAATGTTCAGAGACACTTGTTACGTTGCGCTCATGCACCTAACCTACATAAACCTACTGTAACCTACTGTAACCTACAAATCAAGCTCCCAAGTTCTGCTCGATGGGGGAGCACCTGGCTCCTTACCCCTGTTGGCGTCGATGGACTACTGATGGGCGTCATCCTGGCAAGTTTGCAAGAATCCAAGATATGTTCACGGAAGTGTGATGAATTATTCATCATATTCCCATAGACTATTGATTATTGTGTATATATATATATACACATACATACATACTATATAGATATCTATACTTATTTACTTGTTTACTTATTATTGTATAGATTTGTATAGCAACATATAATATACCAAATGTATCCAAATATTCTCTGCATTCATGGCTGCATAGCATGACCCATATCGAGGTAGGCGTCTCAATGTTCAATCCATCACGTGAGACGACAGACTCCAAGCATACTCCAGTCAAGCAAAGGGTGATGTCACAGGTGATAGCAGCTGATAGCCTCTGTCACATGGCTGGACACGGTCAGACCGTCTACGAATCGCCTACCAATCGTCTATGAATCGTCTACCCAACAGCGTCAACAGCGTCGGCGCTCATCCCATCCCGGCCCGGCTCCTAATCGGACTCTGTCGCATCTGGGATAGGGCTTGGATGGGCTTGGGATGGCTTGGGCAATGTGCAAGAAAGAATAAGAAAGATCTAGACCAAGGGGAAAGTCTAAAAAGAAAGAATGGGTCAACGGTGCAATACAGCAACACCCCACTTTCTCATCTTTCTTGCCATTGTGAAAGTTAGCACATTTTCACTGTTCAAAGTCGACCGGAATCACAGCAATTACGTTCAAACTGATTACAACATTATCAACATCTAACTAACTAAATCTAAATGTAGACAGAATAAATTAAGATAAATTAAGATTATTTGATTGAACCCAAACATAATTAGACAAAATCAAAGTCATATCATGTCATATCCACTCCCTTCCCAATGTGTTGCGCATTGACCCCCTCCAGGCCATGCTGACGCCTCTGCAGAGGTAGAGCTGGCGCTGGCAGAGTTCTCTACAGATGGCAAGCACGTCCAACCTCAGCCGTCGTTCTGTCAACAAGTTGTCAACAAGTTGTCAACTTCTCCACTTGAATGACAATTGATGACAATTGTCACACACATTGTTTGAATTTGTTTGACATTCTTCAAAATTGTGCCCGTAGCTGGTGCCAAGAGAGGAGGGCTGGAGGTGGATGTATGTGTGGAGGATGTGAGGTGATTCACATCTGATGTGGGGTGGAGGGGTGGTGTGGCACAGGGTGAATTAGTGATGAAGTTGGCACAAGATTGGCCAAAGAGAAGGAAAAAAAATGACCACAGCAGCCGTTTATGCAGACCATTTTTGGGCTTCATTTCTGGTGTTTTTTTTGCATAGGCTTTTAAATGCAAAACCATTTTTGAACTGTTACTGGGCGGGGGGCTAATTAACCCAAATGATAGTGTTTGTAACATGTTCGTACATGTTTGAACACCGTAGGACCGTACTTGTTTACAGTCTCATATACCGTCACCGCTTGTCACCGCCAGCTGAGACGCCCAACACGGAGGGCCCTCCTGGGTATCCGAGTGGACTTGTGGCAGCTGGGCAGCTGGGCACTCTCTATGTCTCAATATGTCTCAATATGTCTCGATCTCAAATGAGACATGTCTGAAGCATTGTAACACATGTTTCAGATATGTTTCAGCGCAATTTAGACATAGGATTATAGAATCGAACTGTGTGCTGCGTGTATCCTTTGAAATAAAAGTTATAGCAGCATGGCCATCTCCACAAAACACTGGGAGTGACCATATCGCTACCTTTACTGCCTTTTTGCAGACTAAGTTGGTTTGTTTTTTTTCCATGCTGAGTTTCCATGCTCAAGCAATCAACTTTGATATATAAGTGGTGCTACAGGGATGCTACAGGGACAACGGGCGTCTTTGTCCCCAAATTTGGATGATCTAAGGGCACAAACTCGAGTGACTCATGCGCAGTTTCATCTTGGTTTCAATCTGTGTCTGTGTCAACTTCTTCAACATGCTCAGCTTGATTTCAGGGGATATTCAAGATACAATGGCGTTGGTTGAAGTTCTGAGCCAAGTACAATGCCACAAACCCTGTGGAACATGTTAAAACTTATCCCAAGTAGTGAAAGGTGTCTACATCAACGAAATCCCCCATGGTTTTACATTCTTAATCTCCCCATTTCGAACCTCCTTGGCACCATCACGACGCCGGAGGTCGATGCGACCTTAGCCATGGCAGCTTGCAGAAATCTGCACCACGTTTGTAGGTTGTCCCTGATCGTTTGGCGGGGCTCGAAATCCTTTCTTCTATCAATCCGTGAAGATGCGTAGTGAGCATCAGGAAAAGAGGACCCAGGAACACTTCCTAGGTCTCAAACTACTGGTATGAGAAACAAAGTCGGTGCTGCTAATGATGGAGACTTTTCTGGCATCCGGCGAGTTCAATTCAATAGTTCCGACTCGCAAAATCTAAGCGCCCTGACTCAAAGATGTGTCTGCACACTCGCAGCTGCCCTGCGACGAAAATTGGCACAGGTAAAATTCAGTTCCCTGGATACCAAGTAACGGGCCTATCTGATTCCAGTGTATCATCATCCAAAGTGCAAAAGGTAAGATGTCCCATTAACAAACGGACATGCTAAATACAAGTAGCTGTTCAGCCAGTTGAGCAAAAACTTCCAGAATCCCGGTTGTATGAACTGCTGCTATTTCGTCGAACTGATTTGAGCACAAACTAGAAGCCCGTGCCAGGTGCAACTGCATAGGAGTTATGGGTCATCCAGGCAGGATAGATGCATAAAACATCATGAAACTATCATAATAATTTATAATACTATACATAACGAAACCCTGACAGCGGAAGATGACATCTTTGTACCACCCCCTTTTGACCATCGGGTGATGCAAATTCGCATGACTGCGTTGCACCTCCAGGCACTTTGGCGGCTCGGTGGGGCAAAAAATGGCCGCGCGGCTATCCCAAACGGCACCCCTGATGGGGCTGTACACCTGAAATGCACCGGCAGCGCGTATTACCAGTGAGGATGCACAGGATGCCACAGGCACCTCCATGTCCAGAATAAAAGGAATTGGTATACACAGCTGATTTGCTTTGAGACAGTGGCCTCGTGGACAACTCATGACAATGCATGGCAAACTTATTTCTGATTGGGACACTAACCTGGCAGTTTAGATAGTTCCCTCATTTGCAAACCTGCAGGCCATGCGAGTGATGTGCCCAAAATAAGGAGCCGCAGCAGCAAATAGAGGACAATGAAGACACTTAAGACGGAAGGTCTCAAGCTGGCTGGAAATGGTCAGTAGCTGTCAGTAGCAAGAGTCCAAATTCATCAATTTCCTGTTTTTTGTTCACAGTTGGGTCAGTTGCGGATAGGATGGGAGAAGAAACCCATAGAAACCCTGAGCCAAGAAGCCACGGCGCACAATGGAGCTGACGAGGCCTGGACGGATGCTTCAGATCACGAAGTTGGTTCAGCATGTGTTTATTTAATGTCCTAATGTGATCTAATGTGGGGCTCTTTTCAAAGATTATAAACAATGAATATCAATGAATGAACTATTAAAAATATTTAAAAATCTGATTGCCAATGAGTGAAAATGATTCTGTCACTGGGGTCATGTCCAACCAGCCCAAAGATGGTACTGGCCAAACATTCACTGAAATCGCGCTCTTGGCATCACCTCCTGATAATTTTTGACACCCATTCATTCATAATTGATAGTTGAAAGGGTTGGGGTGAGGTTGGTGCCTACGATCCTCTTTGCTCCAGAAAGAACCGACGAAAAAATATCAGTACAATGTACAAAGCATTGGATTATCCTGCGGGAGACTGCAGCGCTGATTGTACTGCAAATCATACCTAACAGTTCAGAAACAATGCCCGCTTGAAGTAAGTCAGCACACAGGGCACGCTGTGACTCCACACCCTTCAACAAATCATGACGTTAAGTAAGTGTATGAAGTGAAGCTCGAGGCATGATATCATAGAATCTAATAGAAGTTCTAACATCTGTCAACGGTACAGTATACATTTGACAAATGCTGGATGAACCACTTTCTCTGGGAATACTGTGTTCATGATGTATCTTTCGAAGACATCACAGAGCCATGAGGCCACGTGGGGTCCCATGTGGGTCATGAGGCATCAGAGTCTCGGGACGGCCTTGATCGGAACCACACCCATTTGGATGTTGGTTGGCCAAACGCCAAGAATCCGCAAGGCCTCCCACAATCGGGTAGACACTGGAAAAAAAAAACTTTTGACGACTGGAAAAAAAATTAAGGTTCACCCCTACTCTCCACACTGGAAAAAAAACTTAAGACACTGGAAAAAAAAACCTTAAAGAATCTGTACTTTGAACCTTTTTACGGCTGAAATCTCTTATTTTTAGAAGATTTGCAGGGTTTTGGAACTTAATTATGCAATTTGCATGGTATTTAAAGCGTTTTGGCCTTGAATCGCTTGTTTGCACCGTGCTCGCAGCATCTTGGAGCCAGCATCTGTATTACGCAGGGGATCATCTGCAGCATTTCGTGTTATTTGCAGCATATTGTCTAGAGCTAGTTTTTGGATCTATTTCAGGTTGGTTAGGGTGTATTTGGGAGATCAAAGGATGAGAAGGGTAAAGGACCAGGATGAGGAGGGGTAAGGGACCAGGGGATCAAGAGGACCCAGGGATTAGGGACCAAGGGACCAGAGGACGGGGACCAGAGGACCAGGGGACCAAAGGATCAGGGGAACCTGCAATTGTTTTTCCAGTATTTTTTTTTTCCAGTATCATCCCCCCGTAATCCACAGAGCAGTACTATCCCCATCATCCTGACGTTCAACGGCTACCACTGTACGGCACAACCTCTGTCTTTAGGAAGAACGAAAGCTGAAACTCCCAAAAGTCTGCACAATCTGGAAACTTGTCTGTGTAAAGTGGTGGACTCGGTGAATCAAAACCTCATATGACAACAATGCATTGAGTAGATTCTGAGTAGATGGATGTAGATGGATGTAGATGGATGTAGATGGATGTAGATGGATGTAGATGGATGTAGATGGATGTAGATGGATGTAGCTGGTAGATGAGTCATAGATGAGTGGTTCTCAGTGGTTCTCTGTTTCTGCGACTGTGACTCATTGCAGGCACCGTGGGATCCGTGGCACCTGATCTGGTCCCACAAGGCGGTGGCACAGGTCCAACTTCCTCAACGCCTGTCCAAAGCCGCTTGAGCAACTTGAGCCTGCTGAAAGTTCACCGCATTTGACCGACACCCGTTATATACTTTATACGCTGAATATACACAAACAATATATATATGTAAATATACATAACTATTATATAACATTATGTTTATATTTATATAGATATTATACATATATATATATATGCTAACCCCCCCCCTGATACCTACTTTTGACTGTTAATTCCTTCCTTTCTTCGTAACTACATCTGTGCTGGCAGCAAGTCATTTGCAAGAACCATGTGGGTTACATGCTTGAGGGAGCATGGGTTCAAAAGGATGAAGCTATGAAGGCTTTGCACAAAGTGCTGCGTTACAAGTTCTCACTTGGGCAAACTACAGCAAGTACTTTGCACGAATCACGGTCACATGCTTGAGGGAGGGTGGGCTCAAAAGGATGAAGCGATGAAGCTATGAAGGCTTTGCACAAAGTGCTGCGTTACAAGTTCTCACTTGGGCAAACTACAGCAAGTACTTTGCACGAACCACGTGGTTCACGTGCTTGAGGGAGGGTGGGTTCAAAAGGATGAAGCTATGAAGGCTTTGCACAAAGTGCTGCGTTACAAGTTCTCACTTGGGCAAACTACAGCAAGTACTTTGCACGAATCACGGTTACATGCTTGAGGGAGGGTGGGTTCAAAAGGATGAAGCTATGAAGGCTTTGCACAAAGTGCTGCGTTACAAGTTCTCACTTGGGCAAACTACAGCAAGTACTTTGCACGAATCACGGTTACATGCTTGAGGGAGGGTGGGTTCAAAAGGATGAAGCTATGAAGGCTTTGCACAAAGTGCTGCGTTACAAGTTCTCACTTGGGCAAACTACAGCAAGTACTTTGCACGAATCACGGTTACATGCTTGAGGGAGGGTGGGTTCAAAAGGATGAAGCTATGAAGGCTTTGCACAAAGTGCTGCGTTACAAGTTCTCACTTGGGCAAACTACAGCAAGTACTTTGCACGAACCACGTGGTTCACGTGCTTGACACTTTAGGAAGGGTGGATTCAAAAGGATGAAGCTGTTGAGGCATAACATTATATTGAGGTAAAGAGTGGCACTTGCCTACGGTTCGACGAAGACCCCTGCAACCGCAGTAGCTCCCACGATATAGCGAAGAGAAGAAGCATCCTTTTTTTGGCCATCGCACGCTCGCACTCGGTAATCTACCCCAGATACCACTGTACAAGTGCGCCTGTGCATGTCCACAGGTCTTTTCCTCGATTCCAGTACTCGTACTGGCCCGATCTCAATTGCATGCAAAGCATGCGAGCCCCGACGCATGCCTGCTGGTTCAAGGTCACGCGTTCTTTTAAAAAACGCCAGCATCGGTCGACGATCTGCGTACCGGACTTCACCTGCATGACTTTGCCGCCAGGAAGACGATGCTTTTGGACCTCGACATACTTCGGAGCCACCCATCGAAATTTGTTGCCCACCTTTACTCGTGTCTTCTTGTGTACGACACGGTCGTGTAACATACCTGGGACTTGTGCCCGGTAACTCTTCGCAGAATCTGTGTGTAGAATCACATTTTTTCCCTCCAGCCATTTTTTGGCAATTGGCTTCCACTCGACTTTGCGCACTGCTCCCGGGCCCGGAGCGCGCAGTGCTGCCAGCGGAGGTTTCAGGCGGTGCAGCACAAGCGTACCCGGCTTGCCTCGCTGCACTATGCCACACCACTGCTCCCATTGGACTTGCCCTTGAACAATCTTTTTGGCAAACGTGGCTTCGTCAGCTTCCACATCTGCCCATTCATGTCCTCGTCCAAAGCAAATCTCCTTCTCCTTTTCCAGGACGTAAGCTTCACGTAGTGTATACAGCCTCTTCTGCATGTCTTCAATGGCTTTGTGATTCACATACATAAGGCGGTGGATGGCTGCATGTGGCACACGGTTCAGCAAGAGCAGCAGCAAGGCTGCCTGCGTTGAAAGTGGAGTATGTGACTTGCCCCAATGGTCCACAAACAAAGGATGGGCATAGTGAGGACTGATATATGCCTGACAGTTTTTGGCATTGCACCTATGTTTCGGTGGGCCGCCCTGTCTCTGAGGAGCCAACTTCCCCAGGGTTCCATGCTGACAGCGAGGACAAACGGACCCTTCCAAACGAGGTAGCAAACCATCTTTTCGCAACAGCTCCACTAACGCACGGGGCGAGCATGTCAAGAGCTCTGGCAATGACCTTTTCCATGAGTCTCGATCCCCCCGCACCTGCTTCACAGCTTCAGGATCACGAACATAAGGAACTCGTTGCCAATTCGCCTTCTTCTTTGGCTTGAGGTAAGCAGGCCGTTTCAAAACTTGCCGTGTCTTGCCCTTCTTCGCAATGATGGGGTTGAAGCGCGGCGCCATACTCTCTACTATGGGAATGCTTGTTTCTCTAAGATCCAAAAGCTTCTGGTAGAAGAAAACATAACAATGCTGATCGGTTACAAGTATGCGATGACCACATTGGACCAGTGAAGTGACACAAGCTCCTTCATATGTTTATATTACCCGTCGAATGCTGCCAACTGCTGGGATGGCATGATTGTTGCAAGACAAGCACGTACACACGTTCTATGTTATGTTGCTTATGTCTTCCCAACAGCAACACGCACAGCTTCCTTTTATCGCCCGCTACTGTGAGCAGATGTCGCTCCCCATATTGTACTATATGTACATGCCACACGACGGCATTCCCGGCTCACTCATGGAGGAAGATTGCAGCCTCTGTGTCCGCCTCGAAGTCATCTCCATCTGGACCAGTAGATTCTTGCCACTCTTCTACCGCATCCATCTCAGCAGCCTGGGCCAAGGCTTCCAAGTCGGCTAATGAACCATCTGCAGGAGCCTCCTCTGGTCGACTTTTGGTTCTCAGACGCTTGGCAGGTGGATAGCGGAACTGCCCAATCCGATGGCAGCGCAAGGCCGGATTTGGAATGATGACTGGCGGAGGTGGCAGAACAGTTTCTTCTTCCTGAGACGATTCTCCTTCTGGCCTGTCAGAGAGACGGACTGACTGTGCAAGGCGGGCGCGCCACAGCTCGGCTTCGATCTTCTCGTTGGCATCTTTGATGTAGACTTCCGGTCGTCCGGCGGCAAACTTTTCCATGCCCAGAGAGATTGTGCGGACCTCTTGCTGGGTTTCCTGTTCCCACTGAGGGCCATACTCCACGATACCGAGCTTGTACTTGGAATAGAGCGGCTTGTCCTTTTCGGAGAGGAGGTCTTTGTGCAGCTCATCCACCTGGATTCGATGTACTGGGGCCTCTGGATCCTGATTGGGAAGCCGAAGGTAGACAGCATGTTGCCCCACAAGCAAAACCACGGAGCGTTTCAAGCAAGCGAGGACGTCAGCCTGCTTGTCCCCTGCAAAAAGACGTCTGGTCATCTTCATGAACTCCTCGCCCGTGATGAAGATGCGTGAGTCATCTAATGGCTCATCCTCACGGTCCAAGTCATTCGACGCATAAGCTCTCATGCAATTCCTCGTGAGCTTTGCGTCATTGTAGCGACCCGACGTAGTTTGCTCTTCTTCCACAGTCAAGAAGGACTTGAGGTCGGCCATGGAGACATTCTCACGGTTGGGGTCGTCCAGGAAGATGCCCTCGTACACATTGGCCACTTGATGCCGAAAGTTATCAAGTGACTTGGCTCTTCTCCATCCTGGCACAGCATCTTCTTCTTGCAACCTGTGGATATGATACCTGCCCATAGCAAGAATCACAGCAATCAAGGCAGGAGTTTTGCCAACCCCGGGCCAGCCCAAAGCTACGACCCCGTAGCAGACGAAAAGTGGGTACAGGACAGGCAATAACTTCTCAGCTAAGAAGGGTTTCAATGAGAAAGTGGTCAAGGGGAAGCCCTTCTGCAATGTGGCACCATTGGAAGCCTTGGACTTGTTTTGTGCCATGATCCTCACTTTGCCTTCTGGCCAACCAGCAATGGGACTCTCCGCATCTTCTCGGATGTTGAGTAAAATCCATGTATACTGCTCATTGTTGGCATCCGTCTCAGGCGCATAGTCATTGATAAAGGCCACGCCTTGGAGTAAAGTGTCAGTGTCTGGGGACCATGTCGATGAAGAGCTTGCACTATTCTTCGCTTGTGCCTCCCATCTCGTCACTGTGCCCCAGTGCACATGATGTCCAGGCAGGCGGTCCAATAAGGATTGGAAAGCCTTCTTGACAGCCCACGGACCTGGACGAGAGAAAGGAATGTAGGCAGATCCTGCAGGAATTTTCGTGGCGTCCCGAATCGCCATCTTGTCTTGGAAAGTCACAAGCTTGATTACATCCAATTTCCCGTGGCCTTTCTCCATGGCAATACACCCAACCTTTGAGTGAGCTGGTAAGGCATGAGCAAACTGCAATGCAGCTGGTAGACTCTCGATCCTTTGCTCCTGGCAGACCGCTGCAACATTTTCGGCAGAACCACAATTCTCCACATCCTGCTGCACATCCACTAACATCATTGTAGCTGCTCTGAGACCATTGAGTGGACGACAGCAAGAGAGGAAGTCAGATATGCTCATGGGGTTCTCGATGCTGGCACTTGTTTTGGATTCACAGCGCGGGGCCGCCAAACTTTCAAAGCGCCACTGCTTCCCACCGTAGACCCGCATCGCTTCATCGATGATCTCAGTCGCCATGGTGAGGACACAGAGAGACTAGACCCAGCGAGGCGCACAGAGGGGGCACGATACTATGAGCGTAGAAGCGTTGCAGAAGAGATGGATATGCAGAAGCAATGGGAACGAAGCAGACGAGTGCTGGCAGACACAGTCAACTAAGTATAAACTCAAGTCTGGAATCAAGTCTGAAACCAAGTCTGAAACCAAGTCTGAAACCAAGTTTGAAACCAAGTCTAAACTTATTAAGTTTGCTACACTTCGAACTTATCCTCCCACCTTCCCCTTCCCTGTTTCAAAGGTTACATGGCAATGTGTCTTGCATCGTGCTCCGTGTCTTCGCGAATGCGCAATCTTTTTCATCCGCCGCCGATGTCTCTGGCTCAGCCGCTCTCGCAGGCTCGAAGCAGACCCCTCTATCCTGTACGGTTCTGCTGCGATGCTAAAATGGCCTGCAACTCCAGCACTTTCTGCTGTGTTTTCTCCAACTCGTCCGCCGCTTCAAGATACGTCTCCAACAAATCATCAAAGTCATGACACAAGCTGCACCTCTGGATTTTCAGTGGACGTTCCAGAGTCTGCCCGTTGTCCTGCTCTCCTGCGCTGCCGGCACCCAGCACACCCTCATTCCAAGATGCCACACTTGCGCTCCCATTGGATCCTGCAACCTCCTCTGGACTGTCCACGACGCCACCTACAGGCGAGGGGGGGGCAATGTTGAGGGCCGGGTTGGGCACGTACTCGTACTCAGTATCAACTTCAGGTGCAACGCCTAAAGACGGGTTCGGTACTCCTTGCCATTGCTCTTCTTCTGATGCCGACGAGGAGTCAGAGTCAGAGGAAGAGTCAGACGTGGACGACGTCGACGAGGATGAAGTACCATTCGTCAGCTGCAAGACCTGAGAGAGCGAGAAATGACAGAAGGCATATGATCATACCGAACATGTCTTCGTAACTGTATAATCACGCGCGGAGAACCAAAGTACGTAAGGCGACTTCGGCCCCGAGAAAATAACGAGTGTTAGTGTACTCAAGACATGGAACACATGTTCTGAAGTCCAATCAGCCGAGGCGCAGGTTGGGAGGCTGTGGCAGTCTCCTTTTTGGGACGGATCACTTTGGGGAGAGCCAGGGCATGTAGGAGCTTTCGTGAGGCGTCAGGACTCCAGCTGCCCAGCAATCCGACAGGGGCCAGTCGGAGTCCTTTCTGAATGTTGCAGACCATTGCCGCTAGGTGCTTTCGCGCAAGTGGTTGTCTACTTTCATGTACTGCATGGTCCCCGGCGAGGACTTGATTCAGCAGCATTTGTAGGTTGCCTGCAGGTCCCCCACCAGGTCCCCCAGGAGCCGCCGCGCCATCCTGTGCCACCGACAAGACAACAACGGCCTGATTGTCGCGCAGAAGCACACTTCCGGCAACGGGGATCGACATGAGGCCGGATGCGATGACACGAGGATACGAGATCTCAACAAGCCAAGAGCGAAGCTCAGACCGAGGCACACGGACATTGTTTGTCGGAGAGTTTCTGTCTACACATGTGTACACTGATCTCAAGTCTGAACTCAAGCCTCAAAGCCTGCCACCGAAGATCCAAGATCCAAGATTCCCAGAATTTTTTTCTTGGATGCAGGCTGGAAATCTTGGATGCACCCAAGATCCAAGATCCAAGATTTCCAGAAAACTTTTCTTGGAAATCTTGGAAATCTTGGGATAAACCCAAGATCCAAGATCTTGGGTGCATCCAAGATTCTGCAAGTGCATCCAAGAAAAGTTTTCTGGAAATCTTGGATCTTGGATCTTGGGTGCATCCAAGATTTCCAGCCTGCATCCAAGAAAAATTTTCTGGGAATCTTGGATCTTGGATCTTGGGTGCATCCAAGATTCTGCAAGTGCATCCAAGAAAAGTTTTCTGGAAATCTTGGATCTTGGATCTTGGGTAGCAGGAATCGAGACTATGACACTCAAGTCTGAAGTCAAGTCTGAACTCAAGTCTGAACTCATGTCTCAAGAAACTCAATATAAAAAACCTATCAAATTCAACATATGAAAATAAGCAAATTATACTGTAATTTACAGTATAAATCAAGGAAAGGTAGGTACCAGGGGGGGGGTACCATATATATATATATATATATCCGTGATTCCGGCAGCAGGTGGGTAGCCAAGTGTGTGAACTATCAGTAAGTACTGACTAATTATATAATTAATAGTAATAAATTAGTGATAATACGTGTAGGCAACTTGCTGCATGGGTCCTCATTGATCCTAATTCTTCAGCAAAGAGGCCATCAACATTTAAGGACGCGCACGCGACTATTGAGGTTGTGACTCCCGAAAAGACAGCTTGGCAATCTCTAAAAAGGCTTGCATCAGTGTTTACTGTCTGCTCCAAAATGCTGAGCATGAGGCCATATCCCGCTGCTCTTCAACAGGCAAACGGGGAAGTAACCTGCCCATTGGCTGCTTCACGAGCATCGCATGAATTGGATTTGCTTGGAGATCGCATTTTTTTGACAGCAACATGGTCATACCAAGTTGAACAGATGAGAGACAGACCCACCAAAGGGGGAGCCCGCCGCAGCAATGCAGGCATTCTGAACTCTAGAAGCACTGGACCCACTGTGACCCACTCAAGGTTTCTCGTCGGATGAACTAAGAAAGAGTGAACGAGAGGCAGGTCCCCAAATAGACAGTAGAGCAGTAGATACCTCTTTCCACACTGCGTGTGTTCAAGCAAACAGTGCTAGGCAACTGATCCATGTTCTGATCCATATCCTGATCCATGTCTATCCATGTCTCCTGGGTGTGGGCCCAAGCGCCGCCTATCGGGCACGAGACTGCCATCATGACGGCTGGATAGTATGGAGCATGGAGTCCAACGTCCATCGTCCTGGCTGATCTGGCTGTGAGGCGATGCGGATCTCGCCCGATCTCACCCAGTGAACCCGGAAATATGCAGGCAGCCACCCAACAAGTCTGAATCCAAGGAAACATAAGGAAACCAAGGAGCTTGACGTTGAACACTTCGACTTGCGGACTTGGATACCAACTTGATCCAATTTGTATATACACATGTCTGTCACGGCGACAGCAGATATGATCAACTGTCCTCTGCACTGCATGTGGCCTCTGGTGGTCCTGCCTCCACCCGTGGCAGCAAACTCCTGATGGCCCGTGGGATCCCGTGGGATCCCGTGGGATCCCGTGTGACACTATCGATACTGTATCGACATGTATCGACAGCTCCTGTCTAAATCATGGAATCGTTCAGCATCCGAGCCGACAGGTCGACAGTGTCGACAGGTCCTCGAAATGGTTTCGTTCAAACCTTCCACCAGGCTCTCAGGCCTTGGTGCAGTGTTTGCTGATCTTCGCGGCTTTTCGGATTCGGTCATCAACTTCTCCAAGCTTTCTGAACCCTCAACAGAGCTACTTTCATCAACCTGGATGTCCCTTACTGTAGATGGGAAAGGTTGGGAGAAGCATGGAAAAGCAGCAGGCTAGTCTGCCTGCTCAGGCCGAAAGAGTGTGGTTGGAAGATGCTTTCAAGTTCCCGATGATTGGTCAATCATACAAAAACATTCTTGTAGAATTCAATCATCGCGAATTGACAAATACATACAATTACCCTCTGTGGCCACACCCCGATTCATGCCAATTGGCTGCCATTAAAACTGACTTTTTCCTCTGTGAAAGTCACGAAAAGTCATGACCAAGGCCCCAGACCATGGCACAGAGTGTAAACAGCTACAAAGTTTGGGCAAATTTGGCCGTGGATCGTCCCCAAAAAAGGCCACGCCACAGGGTATCGAACCTCATGGTGCCGTCCAAATCCAGTGGCGGGGCCACTATGTCGAAAGATCTAGGAACGCTATGGGACGCTTGGAGATCAAATCACTGAAATGTATTGAAATGTCCTCTCATCAAAGTGGAAGCTCGGGGATGCCCAGATCATCTCAGATCCAAATCTTGAGATTTCGTCAGTGAAGCTCTGTATCTAGAAGATTCATGAAGATTCTAGAATGAACTTGCACATGATTAGTGAACAATATCTACAAGCCATGTCGCACCATGGACCCAAGGTCCAGGCCGTTCACATGCCGAAGCATGGTCCAGTCGGCCAACCTAGGAGAAACTTGCGCACCCACAGCATGCCAATGAAACATCCACGAAACAATACCCATGCAAACAAAATACCGTCAAGTCATCCATTTGACTCCTAAACATTCTCAAACCATCTTAAACCCTCACCCCCTTCCCCAACACAAACCCACAGGCTCAACTGGCCCAACTGCCCCAACTGAGCATCCCCTGCAAGCTGTGCAAGGCCACGGTGCCCACGCAATTACATCGCCCGCCCTCGTGTCAGCAGTGAGGGAGTAGTGACATGCGGATCCCGAATCTCTCTGAACGCAATCCGAGCAAATATACGAATTACATCTAACTACTACTCTGAAGGCAATCCAAGCAAATATACGAATTACATCGAATTACATCTAATTACTAATTATTTACTAATTCTTTACTAATTCGGACCGGGTCTATGTCTGAAACCGATCCTTCCAAGTGAAGAGACAAAAGCATACAAAAACAACCTTTGCCTGGGAGGCAAGTGAGTCTGCTTCTTTCAAGGCCTTCTGAAGTCATATCCGATAAAGAGTCATGGAATGTCATGGATATCACAGATCCACAAGGTCCACAAAGGTGTTTTGATGTGTTTTGGTTCCGCCATCAGTGCCTCTCTAGCGCAAAGGCGCCATCCGCCCAGTGGCAGCGCGCCACTAGTGATGGCACTGCTCGCCGTCCAGGCGTCAACTGGAGGCCACAGGCAGAAATCCCAGCGTTTTTGGCTGTCCCGGAACTGCCCTAGATCTTTCAAGATGTACAGTACGTACTAGTACGATCTAGTACATACATATCCAAATCATTGTATTGAATCGACACCGGAGGCTTTGTGAATGTTCTATTCGGAGAAATATATGTAACATTATGTATAATAATCAATGAAAGCGACGTTGCTCTGTCAGCACAGTTCCCACAAATGACAACAGCCAGGTATTCATTTCATGCAGTTTTCGATACCAGGATGTCTTCATGTTTGGACATGTCATGACATGTCATCTACTCACAAGTTCAGTGCACGTGGTTCTTTCTAGTCATCGCCAAGTCGTGTCCCGTACTGACTACGGATGGCCATCTACCACCACTCCGTACATCTTGACAGTTGATGTTGTCATTTACCAAGTTTGTGCCACACGTGTCTCATCAGACCCTCTTTCACCAATCAACAAAATGACCAAAATGCCCTTGTTTGCACTTGCCATAGCAATGCCACCCAGGTATCACCTGCGTCGAAAGCCACATCTACGTAATGCCCTGGCAAGAGCGTGGCAGAGGCCCCTAGTGCCGCCGCCTCAGTGTTGCCCAGGTATCGGCTTGGAATCGTCCGCTGAAGGTGCTCTTGATGAAAGAATATCGGATTTGAGACTGAGAATTTCCGCTTCTTCACATGTGTCATTTACTGTCATTTCAAGTTGACTCTTTGCACAACCATTACAACCGTACAGCGAGGTGACGGCGACAAATTGTGAGGACCATCATCCGTGTAAGCCCAGGTGTTGAATTGGCTAAGTCGGCTAAGTGATATAGAATGATATGGGTATGGGTCAATACCTATAGATACATTTTTAGTGGGATGAACATCCATTTACCAGCTATTTTGGGGTTCACTAGGTACCAGGGTTTTGACCCATCCCCATATAGATCATCAATGATCATCATAGATCCCCAAAACAAATCTGCTTTGCTTCGCCAGCCGAGCCACGAAAACTGCTCTTCCCAATCTCCGTGACTTGGGACCTTGAAGCTGGAGTGTATGGCAGTGTATGGACACCATGTTGTATCAAACAAACATAAACAAACCATATTGCAACATATTGCAACCTCATGATTGATTGTGATTCGTACTCAAACAAAAGCTTTATAGAGCTCTCAATAGAGCTCTTAAAGGCTCCAACTCCAACATCCTAGAAATCCCCAAGGTCAACGGCTTTTTCAAGGGCTCCATAGCCCTTCATACAAGGCCAGGGTCTTTAAGTTTTGGCACCACTGAGATTCGTCACAATTTTGTCACAAAAGTAGACACCCTTCCCATTGATCCCCAGAGTCGTTTTCAACCCTCCTCCATGTCCTCCGGCGCAAGTGGGGCCCTGACGCTGAAAACCAGGAGGTCCATGAGCAGCATTTGAAATGGTCATGGCTCCTGCCGATCTCAGCAAACTCGCATAGACCGCTACAGGATCCGTTACATAGATTGGTCATTGATTTGATTGGCACCATTTGGCACCTCATATGATTATGTCATGTATGATGTGCTCCGAGAAATCCCTACCAAGTTTGTCAAGTTCATTTCTCATTTTCTGGTGGTGCTCTGCTCGCATGGGGTCCTGGACATCTTGAGTCATATTGATCTCTAGTGCTGGTTCTCGTGAACAAAAACTCTGAACTTTGGCCCAGTGCCTTGCCCTCCGCCATTTGAATTTGTGGGTCATGAGCATCTGTCCTTTGAAGCACTACAGTAGCCAAGGTTTGTACAATGTGGTTTGAGCCAAGGATGCAATGAATTTGCAATGGCTGTGGCTGTTGCAGCTCAGAACCAACTGCCAAATGATTCTTTCGTTTGGGGTTGGGGTTGGTTTGCGGATATGCCAACTTCCCGAGGGTAAGACAGGGCTGCATCAAATTTCTGGTCAGATACTGCCTCTAAACTGTTCGGTATGGCATGAATTAATCACACATAAAACTTTACCGAGAAGGCCTGGATTTTCGGATTATTCAAAAGTCTTGCAAGATGCCTCGCATTCAAAAGCGTGACTTTGGTGTGACAGTGATCATGTACAACCCTATAGTTAACGAGGCGGGGAACCTTTGTATGAACCAACCACCTACCTGCTTCCAAAATCGATCAAAGGGTGTCCACAGTCTACATTGTGTCATGCCAGTCTGGTTTTGGATCATACAAAGCACACGAAAGCAATTATGCATCAATCTCTTCGAACCCTAGTCATTGCATGTCAGTGTTTCCAATGTTTCCGGCTCTCTCGGGAGACAGCCCATCTTTTTCGAGTTGCAAATTGGCGCAGTGGTCTTTTCATATCTTTTCATTGCGTCCCTTTTTGAAGGGAGCATTCTAGCTCAGCGGATCTGTCGGGTGGCCGTGTTCCACGATGTTTGAGAGCTCGGGTACAAAGTTTGGGTTCCAGCAGGTCTACTGTTTCCCAGCAAAGGCTTTTCGACTGTGAGTGGTTATCAACCCTAAATCTTCTAAATTATATATATATATATATGTAACATGTATATAAACATGTATATATATATATATATCAACTCTGCCGAATGAATTTACTGGGACATCCCTGTCAAAGTTATTGTTTCTGGAGGAAGCTCTGCGATCTTTAAGACTTAACAACTTGCTGGACTCCAACCCAAGGTATGAAAGTATGATCTTTCGTTGTTAGTCACCAAACCTGCTAAAGGCATTTCTCTAATCCCGGAACTGAAAGGCAGCCATCCTATCTTGCAAGTTCCACATGAACCACAGTAAACCTTGGACACTGCTGCTTCAGAGATCCTTTGGCACCCGATGTTCCAGGTACGAACCAACTTACCAGTTCCCCATAGTTCCCCCAGGTCAAAAGGATTTTGGAACATATGAAACCATATCATGTGCTTTAAAAAATGCAAAATATAACATAATATCACCAGCATATCGTAGAATGGATGATAATTGCACCAAATGGATCTAAATGGAGCAGAACCTTTACATCTTCCGAGAATCTTGCGTTGTTTTCAACGGATTTCAACGGCTCCAATGACCCCACAGTCCGATATCTTTTTGGCTGTGGCTGCCACGGTCCCCGTCTTCGCGGGGCTTGCAGCTCACTCTACGGGATTCATCATCCCAATCATAGTGTGCTTTTGGGCAGTTTCCATATGGAAAGGAGATTCAAATTATCATAAATTATCATAAATTATCTCAAGTTGATGCGTCGGCCATCCTGTCTTGACCTAGATTCCAGAGATGCTGAACATACAGGGATCTACAGAAGCTTGCAGAACCCACACAAATGAATCATTAATCATAAATGTATGGAGCTGGTAAATCACCATGAGTGGGAGTACCTTGACACTCCTCTCTTATGAATCTTTTCTCAGGGTCCTTCTGGTTGTGTTCATAAACCATTAGAAGAAGGGAGGATAGCAATCTCCCACCGATCTAAATAATCTTTCCACTAATGGTGCGACAACGTGCGACAGCATGATTTTCCAAGGAAATGTATTCTTTACAGCTTGGTACTGGCAGAAAAGTCTTGGCCCTTTCCACCCTTTCTTTGCAGATTGTGCCCTCCACACACCAAAAGTGACAATGTTCAAATCACTCCACCGTTAGAGTCGCTAGCTGACGTTTGGAAACACGGTTTGGGTGTTTAAATGATCCATGTTGGATAGCACATATTATTTTGTCGTTGTGTTTAATGTATACATTCTTCGGTTGTCTAAAAAGAACAGGGACTAACGCGTCCTGTTTGAATCAATTCTCTTGCCACAGGGCGATCCACAAATCACTCAAACAGCTGTAGACGACTCCATCACGGGATTGAAAGACTGAAAGATTGTGTGATGCTGTGGCAGGGCACTGCGTCACGTCACAGCCACTAGGGCCGCTAGGCTAGCTGATTTAGCTGATTGCACCTTGACATGCTGAAGTGCTTCAAGATTAAACAGCATGCTGTCCTTTCTAAAATTTCGATCATGGTGATCCCACCCCAAGCCCAACCAACCAGCGTGCAAAGACCAAACAAAATTGTCACATGTCTTAAGTCCAACAGTAGCAGTACCCATTGAAACGCATTAAAGTAAGGATTCGAGACAAACGCGGCTATGTTCCGTAGGTGTGATATGGCATTATAGAAAACAAATATATATAGATATATATAGAGAGGTATGTTGGATGCCACTTGCTCTAACTTACTATCATCTGTGGCTTCAACCCGCTTCGCTGGGTGTTTCAGGATTTCTTGGGCTAGGTTCAGGTCCAGGTAGTAGCAATCGCAAGAGCAACAACCAGCTGTGCAGCCACGGCATCTGGATGTGAATTGTCATGAATTGTCATGTAAATAAGTGTTCGTGTGGCACAAAAAGCTCAAAAAAGGCCGCCCTTTCACCTCACAGAGACGAATAATTGATGAGGTTGGAAGATGAGAACGCTTGCTTCCGGTAGAAGAGCACGTAGCACCTCGGATCAATTCACAGGTGGAAAAGCTCCCTGAAGGCTATCCCTCAAAAAAAACAAAAAAGACATCTAATGTCAGTTATGTCAGGCATGCAGTTCTCTCCAGTTCCGCTACCATAGAACACGTGCAGTACGCGAAACTTTCTGTACAAACATACCGTCGAAGGCTGAAGTCACAGCAATTTTCTTGAATGTGGACAAATGGCTTGCGGAAAAATCGTGGCGATAGTTGAATGCTTGTGGACAAATCGTTTGCTTGTGCCCACGTTATCAATCCTTGATGTGCATGGCATTTAAGACTATTGAGAACGATGTATGCCAGCATTCAAAAAACAACAACATTTAAAATATACATATATATATTATGACATGCGTGACATACAGTTGGGTCCCCCTAGGAGAACCAACAAGGAATAAACATATAAAGCGCGCAAGTTCAGGGGTGAACTCCCCGCGCCACGGCGCCCCTTCCCCATCCCAAACCACCAAGTAAACAAAGATGAACTTCCCTCCCACATCTCCCACCCAAAAGAGGTGGAGGCAAGACCACAGAGACATTTTCCCCATGTGAGCTAAATATGCTTAACAACTTCCTATCCCCAAATACTATAGTCATGCCAGAACCCACCGGAAATACATTGATTTGACCTCAAAAAACCCTTTAAACCACCCAAAAAAACATGGCAAATCCCAGAGGTACAGCCACACTACGACCCCTTGAAGAGCTTCGCCCAACAGTATGGAAGCAAAACCAAAAAATCGCTACGACTTTGCCCCTTGACTGTACCCAATTTGGTGTGTTTTGCCGAACTCCACATTCACGTGGTAGCTTCAAGCCTGCTGATAGATCTGATAGATTCTGATAGATGTAGGTCGACATTTTGCAAATTGTTCATGCAAAGGAAACGTCCAAAACCTCCAGCATTTTTACATCAAAACAGTTTCCTGGACTCAGCCAACGTAAACCCCAACAAAAAGCGGCGCCAGCCGCTGGCCGCATGGATGTTTACTGGTTCCAGAACGAGGCACTGCTTTGAGATCTCGGGCAATTCCTGTGGCATTGGATGTGGAAGAAGCGTGCACCACTCGTGGGATATCCTTCTTGTGAGACATGAACGAGAAAATCGTGGCAAATCAATGCATAGAATTGCTCGGCCCGTGAATGCAGCTTGGACCCTCAAGTCTAGAAGTTTTCGGCAGGATCCAATACAGTAATGTATTGGAAAATATTGGAAACATCATGAACATGGAATGGGATCTGAACAACCGCTACCATCCATAAAAACTGGCATCTAGGACCTCGGAGAATCTCGTAGCTAGGTGGGATCCTGATTCAAATGTGCACAAGAATCTGTCCTGTTCCAAGTCGACAATCGACACGCAGTCATCGTTGTACTTGAACCATTTGGGCTCCTATCTGTCTGAGCTGCACAAACTTGCGGTCTGGGATCGCGGATAGTATGGGGATCTGCCGTGCTTGGACGGCCTGGAAAAGTCTTAAAGTGGGGAGTGCATCTCACACGAATATACCTGCGCTATCTGCAAATGATCACAAATCAGATGTCCATGCCTAGAATCGTCAAAAGCCTCGGGGGTTCGTTTCACATTCCGACGTTTCCCTTCTGCTCCTTGCCGCCCTCATTCATGCAGTAGGACCTCACCCAGGTCACAAGCTTGACAAGCTCCCCCATCACTTTTTTTGGGAATGGGTATGAATGGGTCGTACAGTCTTAAGCTCCATGCTCGTCTTCGCAGCGCTAGACAGGTCGAGCTATAGATTTCAGGATCAACTACTCCATGGTTTCAAGAGCAGTGGCACGAGAAAGTGCTGGAACTTTGCATCCTTCACTTGCTCAGTTTGTTGAAACATGACTTGCCATATAGGCTGTGACTGGCCCTGAGGCACATTCTGTTTTATTCTTGTCAAACCTGCAGCCCCTTGGTCCCCCTGCGTGTAGTGTCCACCAGACATACCACCGCGGTGGCACACCACCCCTCAGCACAGCACTTCGTAGTCTAGCTCAATGATAGGTAGAATAGGTGTACCCGGCTGAAATACAGGACCTGCCATTTCTCCCTCAAGACTTCTCCGGACTTGCATTGGATTACAGCATGCAAGGGTCCCAATTGGGGTTGCGTTCCCTGAATCTGTGCAATCAGTTTGAGATTCGTGCATCAAGGCAAGCAGAATGGTGAAATCACGCAATATCTAGATCTCTATATACGTATCTGTATCTATCTCTACCTATCATATAAATATTATATATGATATATATATATATATACACAATTAATATACATATATTATGGTACATGATGATTATATTATATATATATATATATATGATGTGTGTGTGTGTCATATACATGATATGTATTATATGCATTGATATATTATATAATTATAAATATGTTGACATAGCTTGCAACATAACTCAATGAATGCGCTTTGAGCTGGCGATTTTCATCTCGCATGGGCCTATGGCTGTCGGTGCCAGGTTGGGATCATAGCCTGATCTCAAGCGGTAGAGCTTAGCCTTTCACTTCGATACTCCGATACAGTGCCTTGAACTGCAGAGTACTTCAGAGTACTGCAGGGCTTTGAGCCCTGAGAAGAGATTCCTCGTGCATCCTAGCAATTTAATGCTTGTTTCATGCTCATTTTGGCGAATGATTTCGAACATCCCAGTCATATCCCATGTTGTGAGAGATGTTGTCCTTCCCCCTTGAAGCACAGAAACGACCGAATATCAGGCGGAAATCCATCACCACAAGCTTGAGTGATTTTGAAGGTGCCAAAGTCCATTCATCCTGATGAATTTCCAGTGTAAAGCCACAAACCACCGATGTTTTTAATGGACCTCCGTTGGTCGATAGCTACATCCTCCAGCCGCTTGAGTCCGCTTGTCAGGCTTAGGCATCCGAGCCGTAAAGATCGTAGGCAGTGCAACTGCCACCCGTAGGGCCTAGTTGCTAGTGGGCAAATTTTATTCACACGAGAGTATGGCGGCTTGGGTTTGTATCCTGGTGCCATATCGATGTATATACACTGTTGCAAGACACTTGGTATAGATGGTTGCATTTGATGCCCTCAATAGACTTAATCACCTATCTGATCTATCTAGCAATGCGATTCCATGCTATTCCTGATCAAGTTTGTAGATGTTTGTAGTTGGTATAGTTCTGGCAAAGTTTGGTGCCCGTGTCACCATGGGGATTGATCTCTTCAGTTCCGCCATGGGATCACTGTATACCTTGCCTCCCATCCAGGATCTTACATCAAGCTCCCTCAAAGGCACCTGCAAAGCATGAGTTTCAGAAGGGTATAGAAGAGTCTCTCAAGAGAACTTCAGGGGGGATCAGCTTGGTCGCCAGCTTTGGACTATGGAACCACGCTTCATGAGGTATTGCATGTTCACTAAAGCAGTCACGATCTGAGTTTCGCTCAAGATTGGATGCCAGATTTCCCAGCACCCAAAACAAATAGCCAAATTTCACATCATCTTACTGCGAGGTGACTCAATTTCTGCCCGTGCCAACATTGGGCCAAACTGTGTAGCCCGAGGAGAAATAAGTACAAGGTTACATGCATGGGAGTAAACTACAGTAACAGACTCGTCGGCAGCAGGAAGTCAAACAAACCTGTCAAAACGCTCACCGGTCAAGTGCATAAATGGGCACTATGATACTGACTACGGAGTGAACATGACCACGGCCACAAGACATCTTATTTACGCGGTCTTCGTTTCAAAGTCGATCTCCGAATACACCAGTCACCAAAAAAATGCCACTGTCAATGGATTCCTCATCTGAGCAGTCTCCAGTATCAGTTGCGGATTGTTTCTTCTGGTTGGATCGTACAACTCATACAGTGTTGGACCAAATTGTATATTGAACTCGTATCAACAATGATTGACAACAATGGATCTGATACTGATAGCCAAGATTTTGGCCACAGCTGATCCGAACTCTTTAGCTTCCACATTCTTGTTAATTGTAGTGATCAAAATCCAAAGTGGGCATCAGTGTCAAGCAATCCCTGTGCCAAGCGCTACCTGCACTGGAGTCGTGATCTTCTCAAAGTGTTCTCCGCTGAAATGAAACCTGTGATGCACTGGGCTCCGTGTTTTGGCATGTTTAGAGTCCGGCATGAGGGGTTTATGCACTCCCGAAACACTAAAAATTATAAGTTATAGTAATTATAGTCATTATATAGTGTTTCCGAGAGGCAACCAATTACCTTGCAGGAACTTCAAAGCTCTGCTGTGAGCACCACACGTTTTGAATCGTTTTGAATAAGCTTCAAAACTCGTCCGGCGAGTCTGATTCTACCACCAAATATTCTCATCCTGAGCCATGCAACTCTCAAAGTGGTGCCCAGTTTTCATTGGGCAACTTGGGGAGACTTGCTCAGCTGATCAAAGGCATGAGGCCATCGTAGCAAGGATGCTGATGCTGGATCAAATAAAACGGCGCCTTTGAAAATCTATACAATAACATGCAATAAATGCTGGCTGTATCAAATAAATAGTGCATATAATAATCACTCAGCAATCTCTGACGATGACGGAGGCAAGTTCATCCCATCTCGCCTCTTGATGTGAAGGACTAGCAAATCCGGCTCTCGCCAGATATCCTGAGTTTAGATACTGAGCTACTCAGTGCCAAAGCAAAGGGTAGATGTCTAGTCTTATCCTGCCGGGTTCCCGGTGGGTAGACCTCATTGTCATTTCAAATTTCAAGCTGTAAGTCGCAGCCTTCTGATCGACTGCAGGAAGTGGTTAGGACGTGTTCTCACCCACTCTGGCTTTTTTGCTGCTGCCCGCTGCTATGCTCATAAGTCTGCACCACTGTCAATGGCATATGCACAAGATGCATTGAACCTCAATTGAACTATATAGTATCATTGTACAGTATCATTTATCGTGATGTATTATGGTACTGTCCCATACCGCGCAATGCTGAAGATGTACAATGTGTTTGATGCCGTTGGTCAAAGATCTTATTGTTGCGGGCTGGAAGTGAAAACAAGGCAATCGAGAAAATTGTATGCCCTCAGTGCATCGCACACACTTTCGAACTTGACATGACTGCGGTGGCTTCCAGGGCTTTACAAATCTGTCGTTCTCAGTGCATCCCACTGCCACGCTGCACAAGTCAAGAGTCCATCTTCTTGGTCGCGTCGACAGCAACTTTGCCTTGGTGGTCAAGCATGCCATGCCAATGGACCAGCAGCTCCAAGCAGTTCTCAGACGTGTAGCACCACAAGCACATCTGGATGCGTTGCTTCTGTCTTTTTCTGATCTTTTTGAGATCCCACATTCATCACATTCTAGAATCTAGAAGAATCTAGAAGAATCTAGCGTACGCAAACTAGATCATCTAGATCACATGCCAAACCAAGATTTGCACCTGGTGACTCTGGGGTCTCAACACTTGTCACACTTGACCTCCTCAAGCAGGGCACACCATGCGACGTAATGCGATGTAATGACAAGCATTGACCAGCAACCGATTGAGATTGTTACCATTAAGGCCAACCCCTCACTTGCGCCCCGCAAGCCTACGTTCCCGTCACCTGCGCACACATACTTTGCCCTCTCCCCAACAAAGCAATGATCAGCATGCTAAGTCATTATTTAAATCGTCCCCCCATCTGCCCTACAAAGCAATGATCAGCATGCTAAGTCAGTATTTAAATCGTCCCCCCATCTGCCCTACAAAGCAATGATCAACATGCTAAGTCATTACTTAAATCGTCCCCCCATCTGCCCTACAAAGCAATAAACAGCATGCTAAGAAAACATTTAAATCGTCCCCCCATCTGCCCTACAAAGCAAT